TATGTGTCAGATTATTTGTTCCTTTTTCTCTTTTATAATCAATGTATTATTTAAAACTTCAAAAAAAAAAAACTTTTTTTTCTTGTCTTTCAAAAAAAGACAGAATAATGTATATTGTACAAGAGATCTGTATTTTAACATTGACAATGGCAAGTAATCTTTTTGAAAAAATTATGTATTCGTTTTTGTTCATATAAATTTTATTTTAGAAAATAAAAAAAAAAAATTCTTTATCATTTTGTTATTAGCTAATATCAATGATTGAAATAAAAAATACGCCATTGAGGTGAGAAATAACTTTTTGATTTTGGTTCTATACTAATATTTTTTTATATTAATATCTTGTGATAATAACACGAGATATTCGTATGCGTAGTACTTATTATTAAACCATATGATATTTTTTCTCACGTTGAGTTGGCGTAAAACCTATTAAAAGCTTATTTAGAAGATGAACATTAAACTAAAATGAGAACTATTGTGTAATAAAAATGTAATTTTTATGATAGATATATGACATTGAAAAAACTTGAAATTAATTAGAAAATTATAAACATATGATAAATAAACCGTTCGGAGGTTCTTAAAAGTCAAAGAGCTAAAATCGGAAAGAGTGACCTATTTTTTCAAAAAAACTAGAACATTTTTTCATCATCATCAAGTGCGCCTCCACAGTTATCGTTATCTATGTTTTTGGTTTCTCGCCCCTATAAAAAGAGATCGACCCAAGCAGTTTATATAGAATTCTTGTTTTACAAATTTCTACAGTCTTAATCTTTCCATTCAAAAAGAAAAAGATGTCCATAGAGAATAAAAATATGTCATTCAGTAAGTATTATATTTTTAATTTATTTATGAGAATTGTTTCTCAAAAATATTTTTCTTTTAGATTTTCATGGTTTATTATCATTAGTTCAATTTCTGGTGACTCCTCTGACAGTGATCAGTCATGCCATCGAATTTGTTATGTTTCAAATGGTAAGTAAAATAATTTTGTGTTCAAATGAATAGATTCACTTTTTTTGAATTATAATAAATAGGTTCTTTGGTACGATCGATATATGTATACACCACTTCAAATTCATCTTTCACCATACATGGCTCGTATTCCACGTTTTATTCGAATTGGTGATAAAACTGTAACTGTATTTAATGCTAATATTGTTACTTATTCACGAACACTACTTATTATTCCAATAGCTTGGTGTATTAAGTAAATATTTATTTGAAATTTTTTTTTTTAAAAGTTCATCAATAAAAATTTTTTTTTGCTTTTCCTATAGATATAATTATCCAATATTAGCATGTTTATTAGTTCTTTTTCATGATTTTCTTGATCATGTTGATGGTATTGTTGCAAAAGTACACAAACGTCTTTATGGTGAAAATATTGATGATCCTTTATTAGGCGGTTTTATGGATGCATTTTGTGATAAAATTGTGAATGTTTTTTGTCTATGGACTGTTGTACAAGAAACAAATTTTGAACAGACATCAATATTTATTTCAATTGGATTTGTTCTTTTATGTTATACAATAATTGGTCTTGAAACAGCTATTGGTGTTGTACGTGTACAAGATTATTTTTATGCTAGTCTACATAAACATAAGTAAGTGATTTTCTATTTAAATAAATAAATATTTAAACATAAAAATAAAATAATTTTTAGAACATCTGGTCAAAATTCAACATCAGCTGCAATGGAAGGAAAATTAAAAGAAAAACTTGAATCAATGGGTTTAGCATTTTTATGTTTATCAACAGGTTATCTTTCACCATTTAATCATTGGTGTAAGTTGAAAAGTCTTTTTCATTTCTTTTCTTCATTAAAATATTCTTAATTTTGTTTTTATTTTTTAGCTGGTATAAGTGGTATAATATGTTTTTCATTAACAATTCGATTAGCTTATGCATCATTAATGAAAAAATTACAAGCACGTGAAATAAATACTGAAAGAAAGAAAACAATAATTGTTGATTCGACATCAGAAACTGTTTCATCATCAACATCACCTGTTAATAAAACAATTGGAGTAATTAATATATTTAATTCATCAACTGATACAAAAGCTCGACTTCGAGCAATGACACTTGATACAAAATTACGAGAAGTAAGTTTCTTTAAAATAAATTTTCAATGATAAAGAATTTTTTTTTTTTTTAATTTTTGTTTTAGAGTGAAAAACAAAAACGTTTAAATACTCAATTAAGTCCTTCATCATCAACTACAGGAAGTACATCAAGTATAACAAATGATCGAATATCACCTAGTCTTCCAAAAGGTACAATAAATCCATTGATCATCAAACATATGAATGAGATTCAAGAAGAAACAGATGATCGTAGTAGTACAACATCTTCATCTGAAGATCAACAAGATTTTCCTCATGAAATTCAACGTAGTTCATCATTACCAGCAATGTGGATTGATGGTCGAGCTGATAAAGTTTATACAGTTGGTTGTTTTGATTTATTTCATGAAGGTCATCGTTTACTTCTTCAACGTATGCGACATTTTGGTCGAGAAGTTATTGTTGGTGTACATGATAGTAGAAGTATTCAAAAATTAAAAAATCGTGTACCTATTGATGGAACAGAAACACGTATGCTTAATGTTAAACGTTATGCTGATCAAGTTTATTGTGTTTCTGGTACTGATCCATCAAATTTTGTTACATGTATTGTACATTTACGTGAAAATGAATCAGCACTTTATGTACGTGGTGATGATATGGCAGATTTTCCATCAAGACATGTTGTTGAAGAATTAATGCCTGTTAAATTTTTACCTTATACAAATGGTGTATCGAGTACAAAATTAAGACAAGAATTATTTTCACATGTTAAAGCAGATGATATGGGATATTTAGAAAAAATTAATTGAATATAAAAACAAAACTAATTGAGTATTTTCTATCATGAATCTCAATATTGTGAAATAGGTTTTTTTCTTTTCTTGTTAAACGTTTGTTTTTTGTCAGTATATATTATTTTTTTGTGGGTTTGCCTTTGTAATAAAATCAAAAATATTATATTTAAAATCTTTAGTCATGCGAAATAATCGAATTTTATGTTTATAATAGCATAGAAAGAAAAAAAAAACATATACTACAAAATCATAATGAGCATGTCGACATTTTTCTATTTCAATCTAAAAAAGAAAAGATAAACTACGTTTATTCTTGCCTTTGTCATTGTATGTGATTAATAATACACCTGAGATAAAACGAAATTTTTCTAGTTAATGTCCACGTGATTCATATAACAAAAACTCTCTGATGATTCATTCATTTTGATTTCAGATAGAGAAATTTGTTTTGTTTCAAGTTTCCTTTGACTAGTTACACAACGTTTTTAGATACAGTCATATCGTTTCATATATTCTCTAACATTGAAGATAGAAGAAAAAAAAAGAATTGTACTTGTTGATTTGTTTCAAAGAATAGTAATGAATGTTGTTAGTTTTTATTTTTGAATTGAAACTTAATAAATATTAGAAATTTTTTTCTAATCTTATTTTAGATGATTCGTTTTTCGACTTGATTTAAAATTCAATGACTGTCTCGAATATATCATAAAACATAGTAAATATTTACAAGATTTTATTTTTTGAAAGTTAGTATCAATTAGAATAGTTCTAATAATCTAACGACAAAATCAATTTATTAATCAGTTAAATAATAAAATATAGATTCTGTTGCTAATATAATTATAAACATTATGTCAAACTATTTGTTTATTTATAGATTGAGACATATGTTTATTTGAATATTTAATAGAAAACTTTTATTTTTCTTAAATAAATTGAATAATCAACAAAAATTTGCGATCAAGTTTTACCTTTAAATAAATAAATAAATAAATAGATGATAGGATTTTATCTTATAAACATAATATAATGATTCAAAAACCTATTTATTCTATTAGCTATTTCTGGTTTTGTTTATTGAGTTGCAAAACTAATTATTTCCAGTAATCTATGATTCTTTACTCTTTCATTACGGAATTTTTTTCATGATAACAAAAAATATGTGTTTACTTATAGAAACTAAGAATTAGGTGAATATACGTCAAAGAAAAGCAGCAAATTATGTTAGATTTTCAATCAACATAATAAAATTCAGTATTTGTAGAATTGCTTAGAACCTTGTAAAATCTTGTGCATAGCTCTATGAACAATCCTATAGTTCCATATCATAACATAGATCTAATAAAATTGAATGTCAAATATTATGCAAAAATAAGACCTTTAGCAGTAATCGTAATTTTTGAGAATGAGAAAGGTCAAACTCATGTTTTTACTAATTATTTATTCTAATGATAGAACTGAATTTGATCAAATCTAGGAATGCATCAATTCTTAGAACATAGTGTCAAAGATGACATTTTTTCCTTTTCTAGGACTGTAGTTCCCTGTGAATTGTTTATATATCAACTATGATCAATTTTTCTTGTTCTATTCAAAGTTGTAATCGAAAACAAAATATTGATAAAAAATTTGCAATTTTTTTTTCTCAATCGATTTCAACTGTTTCTGAGTTTCTATGTTTTGCATTAGATCATACCTAAGAATAGATTAAGAAAGAGTGTTCAAAATTGATATTAAGAATCCACAAGGAACTATATCCTTAATAAGGAAAAAAATGGTTTCCTCTGTGTGATAATTTTGTAGGAATTGGTGCATCCATAATGAAATCAGTGCATTTATGGAAATATGATCATGTGAAAACTTGTTGACATTTATTTGTAATAACATGTCATAGCATTGTTTTTTTTTCTCTGTCATTATACCTATCATTTAAATACATCATTATTCAGTGCACTTGGTAAAAGAACGGAGAAAAATGAATATATAAAAGCGTACATAGAATGACAAGCTGTTGCTGTCTTTTCTTTCCCTCTCTTTCATTGAATGGATATTTTTTTCTAATTTATCATAGAAATGAATAAGCTTTGCTTTTGTATTTGAAAAATACTATTTTAGAATATCTAATAAATTATGCCGAGTATTCGTTTATTTGGTCGTCGTTTTAATTTTGCTTCTGATGATTTAACAATACCATCATTAATTGATATTATTCTTCGATTACCATTGTTAGTAACTTTTATTATTTTTCGTATAAAAGATGAATCACCAAATTCAACATGTCCATCATCATTTTATAATGGTTATTTTTATCCACTTTTAAGTGTTTATATAGCTATAACAATATCAGCAGTATTCATATGTTTTATTAGTACACGAGGATCACCTTTAAAAAATATTCGACCACGTCGTCATATGCCATTATTAATTTATATAAGATTATTTCTTGTTTTAATTGATATTGGTATTAATATAATGGGTTCAGTCATAATAATAAGAGTATTTCAAATGTGTGCTATTATTTTACGTGCAACAATTATAACAACAATTGTTTTAAGTTGGAGTGTTGCTATAGCATTATTTATAATATTAGCATTTTTTATTGATTTAACTGGTTTTGTTAGTGCTGAAAAGAAATGGGAAATGAGAATAAGATTAATTTTTTGTTGTGGAAGAGGTTATGGTAATAAAATGATTAAAAAAAAAACCAAGACAAAGAATTAATTTTAAAATTTTGCTTTACTTTTTAGGTGGACAATCATCAGATATTAAAAATATTGTTAAAACTTTACAATATTTATTTGATGATGAAAGATTTGATCTTGTACCAAGTGATGTTGCTGCTGGTCTTATTCTTTTACAACAAGAAGATGCAATTGAAGAACGTTCAGTTAATATTATACAAAATGTACCTTTAGAATTACTTAAAGAAGGTCTTTATTATAATACTTATGCACAATCTGCTTTTGGATGGTAGAAAAATTTAATAAATTATTTTATCATTTTTCTTACCATATTTTTTTTTTCGAAAGGTTTTCTTTAGCATATCAATATCGATTAACATTTATACTAAGAATGCTTTTTGCGACGAATTTCAGGTAAAATACTTGAAAAATTTTGTGAAATGTTTTAAATTAATCGAAAAGACCTTATTGGATAAGATGACTACCCTTCATTTGAAAGGTCATCTATACCATTTTGTAGAGCAATTCGTATCACGTTGAATGATATATAGGAAATTGCATTTTTATCAAGTTTTACTGTTTGGAGAAGTCATATATCAAGTAAGTGATATTTATAACAATTGTAAGTGATATGATCAAATATTAGAACTTAGTATGTTTTCAAACCAATTGATACTATATTTTGTTTAACGTTAATTCAATAGAGTTTTATCTGATCTTCAATTGTATATATCTAATAATTCTCACAATAACTTTCTTCGTGGCCAAAATCTTAGCACTTTTCTTAACTTCTGCAATTTTTTGGCAATTATGATGTTTTAAATTCTCTGACACTGCTCCTCAGAGTAGAGGCGACCGACCGTATAACTTTCTCAAGAACTGTGTGCCACCAAGCTCTATAAGTATATCAATTGATTGTCCTCTGAATTGATGTGCGTCATAGTCAATTCGGCTAAGAAATCCCTAAAAAATGCCAATTTTTTGATTTCTCATTATGGAGCAGTATATGAGTTTTGTAATAAATACTTTTGTACTGAAAAAATTCCTATTTATGAATAACAAATCCATCATACTCCTATCACTTGACATATATGAATCTACAAAAATGGCAAAAAAATTTCTTGCGTTCGCACTCTTGGAGAGGGGTACAAGAATGAACTATTATGAAGATTATTTTTTATTTTATTTACTTCCGTACGAATTTAGATTGTAAGTAGTCGAATGTGATTAATATGTGGAGCTCTATTAGATTCAAAATATGTTCGGTCTATTATAAGAATTAAAAAGTTTTCGAATCCCCTTACCTTCCATCAGGGATGCGCATGCGAAAAATCCTTCTGCCATTTTCGAAAGATTCATATTTGTTACATGACACGGGCATGATGAACTTATTATTGATAGATAGAAATTTTTTCACTCAAAAAGTATTTATCACAAAACTCATATACTTTTCTGTAATTGGAAATAAAAAAATTAGCGTTTTTTTAGGCACTTCTTAGTCGAATTGACTATGACGCATATCACTTCAGAGAACAATTAATTAGTATACTTATAGAGGTTGGTGGCGCAAAATTTCTGACAAAGTTACATGATTGGTCGCTTTTGCCATGAGGGACAGTATCGAAGAATTTAAAACATCATAATAGCCAAAAATTACAGGAACTAAGAAAAGTGTCAAGATTTCAGGCACGAAGAAAACTATTGTGAGAAGTATTACATATATATGATTGGAGCTCAGATAAAATTCTATTGAAACAACTTTGTACAAAATTTGATATAGATTAGTTTGACAACATACGAAGTCCTAATATTTGGTTATATTACCCACAATTGCTATAATATTCGGTAGCTGATATATGGTTACTCAGAACGTGAAAATTTGATGAAAAAGCAACTTCCTATATACGACAAAATGATATAGATGGCTTTTCAAATAAAAGGTGGTTATTTTATCTCACAGGATTCTTTATTTAATTTAAATAGGACAATTGGTTTTTGTTGTGGTTGTTGCACTTGTTGTGCATCTTGTTGTGGAAATCAAGATAGTGTAAATGATCCATGTGGAAATCAATATAGTACACTAAGATATTTACTACGTAGACAAAACCCTATCATATTATATGCTAATTTTCATGGTGCATTTCATCGCGGTATGAGAAAAACTATTTACAAAAAAAAAAAAAATCTATGATGGATTATATGTTTTTGATTTTATTTTTCTAGCTCCATTTTATATAGCAGCTGATAATGAAAAGAAAACAATAATTGTATCTATTCGTGGAACATTAAGTGCAACTGATGTACTAACTGATATAAATGCTGTTGAAGATGTTTTAGAAACAGAATTATTTGGTAGTGGATATTGTCATAGTGGTAAAGTTTAATTATGTTTTTTTTTTTTATAAAGCAATTAGATTAGAAAAGTGTCATAGGAATATGTGACATAAATACTAAAGATCAAAATAAAACATAAATAGGTGAATGGATGATTCGTCAGAGGACTGTTCGTCGAGGAGTATGTGGATGTCAATGTTAGTGTAAGGAAGGATCTTCTGTGTGCCTCAACGTACACTTTCATCTAATCAGGCGTCCAAATCCGATAATAGACTTTGAATATTTTTGAAACTTCTCTCTGTGATTATGAACTATAATAGAAGAACATCTATCTTTGATAACCAAAAGGAGAATAATTCTATGAACTCAGTGGCGTAGCCAGGATTTTTTAAGTAGTTGGCAATTTACCAGCAAAATTATTGTTAGTAGGTGGCAACAAGCGGCAATTGTAAAATCTAGTGGGCAATAATTTTTTTTGAAACCTTATTCGCATTACAGAATATATTGTTTAACACATTGGACACGATGAGACCCACCGATGGGTCCCACTTTAAAAAAGTTGGATATATTGACTTTAGTCTATTCATATGAAATAGTTTCTTTTGTCGATCATAGAAAATGTTTCAGTGTTTTTATTCATAAGAGAAAAATCAAGAAATGTTGCGTTAAAATATGTTAAGTAGTTTCCAGAAGCAAATGTGACCCTGTACAGTTTTCAGAAAAATATACGCCACGCATATTTTCTATCAGTTAGTACGAAGAAGTAAAGCGTTGCGAAGCTAACTAGTTTCAACAAAGTCGGCTAATTTTTGTTTCGAAATACTCAGCGACATAAGAATTTTCATAGGTTTTACATAAAATTAAATCTCTTATAAGTGGAAGTTGTCAGTTATATATATTATTTATTTTCATACTGCATGGTTCGTCTTTTTTCTCTTATCGAACCTACTTAACATATTTTAACACAGCATTTATCGATTTTTCTCTTATGAATAAAAACACTGAAACATTTTCTATGATCGATAAAAGAAACTATTTCATATGAATAGACTAAAGTCAACATATCCAACTTTTTTAAAGTGGGACCCACCGATGGGTCCCATCGTGCCCAATGTGTTAATGAAGGAAAATTAGATTAATCATTCTGTATTAACAGATAAATTCACCCGTTTTCTTTTTACAATATTTAAGAAATGTATTCTTCGATTCCATATACTGGATGGTCCAAAAATGACCAGGCAGTCATTCAATGGACAGTGTCCAAGGACTGAGGAATATGAATTCTTCTCGGGTTTCTCCACAGTTTCATGAATCATAAAATTGAAAAAATACGGTATTCACGATATTTTATCTTCAGACAATCATTTTCTCAAGAAATATTTGAAAATGAATTTGTAGGTATGAAATCTGTTACGGATAAATCATTACTTTGATTTTTATTATGGGAGATCTATGAGGGAACTAATGGTCGATTCTCTTTTCCCCAGGAATTATCAGAGAGACACTGGTAGTTTCTCTAGAGATTAGGAATTCCCATTTGTCAGTTCTTGAACATTGCTGAAGTTATAAGGATTTTTGCGAAAGACCTTAGGCTACTTTCAGAAAATTCAGTTTTCGTGCGTCATATGTTTTAGTGGAAATTCACACTGACGATCTCAGGTGGTACGTTAGTTTTCAAAAAGCTCAATGGAAAACTTTCAGAGAACGTGTCAGAAAAATCTGTAATTTATGGTTTGATGTACTTTTATCATCTCTTTCCAACGGTGGAAATCACAGGTGTCTATCATCTTTCCATCGAAAGTTATTCGAAATGAAAGGCTGTCTCGTAACTTTTGTATCATCCTATATTTGAATATTTTTTGTCAAAAAATCATAAATAAATATCAATAGAACAAGCAATAGTATAAATGAGCATAAATAAGCAAGGATAACAGATATAAAAAAAACAACAAAAAGGTTCATAATTGAAAATCAAATTAGTTTGTTTGTTTTCTTACGCCGGACAATGATAAACATTATTCCACATATATCTCTAACAAATTCTCAATGATAAAAGTTTTTTTGCATTGTTCTAATGTTCAGTCATATGCACATTCTGTAAACTACATATTATCATCTTATTACTGGTATTTTCAATGCCTAAAATGAGCTTTCAAAGCACTGTTTTTTACGCACTCAATCGATTTTTATTTAGATTTTCTATGTAATTTATTCACGTTTTCAATTCTAATATTGTAAGAATCATGTTACAACATACGTTGTGAAAACTTTTAATTTAGATTGCTCCAGTCGTTTCTGTACAATACAGTTTATGTTTGTAGAAAGATCGTTAGGCATTTATTCACGTTTCTGTTTAGCTAATCTAAGTATATTAGAGAATATTTTGACAGAAAATACCATTCAATAGTTATTAGTATGATCACTTTTTAAATGGAAAATATCGTACATTGATTTTTGTAAATCATTTGATTAGATCTCATCAAGAGAAAATGTATTTAGAAAAAAACACTCCTTGAATCTTAAAGTATACGCAGGTATTAACATTTTTTTGACCATGGGCAATTGACCACATTTAAAAACAATTAGGCGGCAATAAAATTTGATTTAGGTGGCAACTGCCGAATAGCCACCTTGTTGGCTACGCCACTGTATGAACTGTTTGGTTTAATAAGAGATTGTAAAGAAACTGAAAAATAATCCAAATTCATTTGGTTTGAGTTTTCTGGTTGACTCTAGCTCACAGTTTAATAATGTTGCCAACATTCTTTTTTTTGACATTCTCTAGTATCATTCTTCTACTTCAAGTTTCTACCGAGGAAAAAATACAATGTCACATGATTAAGTAGTTAAGAAATTTTTTTTTTAATTTAGGCACAAATGACCGAGACGATTTGAGTACATGCTTACTCCCTACCCACTAACGATGCTCTTTCAGGATCCTTGAAGACTAATATGTCATGCGATGAATTGTCCTTGTATCCTATAAATGGTATTTACTTGGGAGTACAAAGTTTTACTCGCAAGTAGTATTTTGTAGTCGTATGAAATATTGAGATCCTTCTTTTCAAATGATGAACTGTTTTAAAATTATCTAAGATTAAGTACACAATGATTCTTAGAATATTTATATTATCATCTGAGAAAAATAATTCATGACAATATATCATAGTTTACATACAAATGAATACGAATGGGAACTAGCAGACTTCTAGAGTGATATTTCTGCTGTTTCTCTCTCGAATGAATATCATATCAATATGAATAATAATAATCTTCCATCCTATTATAGGCAATAGTAGTTATTTCTTGAATAAGTTCTCATAAATTTTACATTTTGCATTTTTTTGCTTTCATTGAATAATCAAACATATTAATGTTTATTATTCTTAACCGTAAGAAAGAGAAAATTATCTATAATGTAGAATTTTATGAAAACAAGATTTATGATTGATTTTATTTATTAAAAGGTATGCATTCAGCAGCTAAATATATTCTTGATGATATATCAACACGTTTAAATGATATATTTACTAAATATCCTGATTATAAATTAATTATATGTGGTTATTCACTTGGTGCTGGTATTGCATCGATTCTTAGTATTCAATTAAAATCTAAATATCCACATTTAAAATGTTATGGAATCGCTATGCCTGGTTCTGTTTTATCAGAAAATTTAGCTTTAGCAACACGTGATTTTATTTATTCATATGTTGTTGATGCTGATATGATAGGTCGTGCATCAATGCGTTCATTAGAACATTTACGTGATCGAATAATTGATGCATTAAGTAAATGTAATCGAAATAAAATACGTTTATTAACAATGACACTTGCACGAACATTAATTAAACGTGGACAAACTTTTCATTCAAGAAATAATCGTACACAATCATTAATTGATAATTCAGTAACAAATTCAATAATACCAACCGATGTTAATCCGTCAATTTCACAATTAGTTTTAACTCATCATTCTGGTCAACGTGTACATTTAGTTTTGCCTGGAACAATAATACATTTATATTCAACAGATCGTGTTGGATTATTTTCACGTGGAATTTCTTATCGTGCTGGTATAACTACATATGATCAATTTTTTCAACTTATTGTTCATCCAAGAATGTGGCTTGATCATTTTCCTGCATCATATAGCACAGCATTAGCAGATATTATTGAAAATTATGAACAAATTTCACAACAAATAGCTTAGTCTTCCCTTTTGTTGTTGGATACTTGTATATTTTATTGACATATTTCTAGTATTTATATAAATAAATGGACAAGGAGACAGACAAAAACATGTCAGAGAGAGAGAAAGAGGAACTATTGAATATTTTTAAAAACATTAATTGATCAATAAATAAATAGAAAAATGATCAATCTTTCAAAGTTTTTGTCATTTTTGAATTCGTTTACTAAATAATCATATTTGGAAGTTATATCTCTGAACTATTCATCTTGTAACGACATTGTCTGCTTATTTTTATTTCACTTTCTACTAGAAGAAGACACATAGTATTTCAAAATTTAGTTACTATCCAAAGTCACCATGAAGCTGTAAAATATTGACAGAAAGTCGTACATTTTGGAGAGATGGAAAGTTTCTCATCCTCTTAATCGAAAATCCTGCCTCTGAGAGATGATTTTTCGCTCATATTAGAACATTGCACTATTGTTATTTGACTTTTATACTAGTTCTATACATATAATATCAATCTTTCCTTATCTTATGCTAATTAATCTATCATTATTCTGCTATTAATAAATAGACAATGAATTATCGGTATAGACTACGATCAGTTTATCTAAATAGCATGGAACAATGTTTTTATTTTAATTGTAATATCAGACTCAATGGATGGTGAACTCTTATTAGAACAAGTAAATAGTAATGAATTGAAAAAAGCTTGGAAGTGTGGGTTGGGAGGGGGGAGGGTCCCATTAGAATTACCATTAGCATTATTTAATGCTCATACGAATGCTTTTGCATTATTATTAACGAGGAACACTGATACTTCAGTATTATTGGCATTAGAGTTAATCAATGTCAAAGTGTTAGCATTAAATTAACATTATTTTGAATTCAAATACACGTACTCAACATAAATTTTGTAGGACTATCTGAACATGCTACCTATAACTTTTAGAAACTACCTGGCAATGCTATTGGTAGCATTTCAGCTGCTGTCTGTAGCATCTCAGTGATATCTGAAGCATCTCACATGATACCTGTAGCATTTCAGATGTTGTCTGTAGTAGGGTCTGTGGGTTTGGGTATGGGTGTGCGTGGGTCTGGTACGAATGTGGTTATGTAGTGTATA